AAGTGTAGCCAGGTTCTTCTCCATATGATATGACCAACTTAGTGGAGGTCTTTCTCTTCCTCATTTTGCCTCGGCGAGTACTGYGCCGAATACTTGCAGAGCTGGAGTGTTTTCRTCCATTCGGACGACATGACTTAGCAAGCGTAGCCGATTTCTCTGAATTGGTACAGCTCATCATTCCATTGACTGCGGTATACACCGTTGCCAATGCGCAAAGAACTACAAATCTTCCRCAGAAMCTTTCTCTCTCTTTATTTGTCAGCAAATGTGTATCGCTTTTTTTGTCAACTCTCGGTATCTATCCCATACCGCACGTGTTGTGATCGATTGTAACTTTGTAAGGTAGGCAGTTTGTTTTCTCTCCAATGCGACACATTGTTCGAAATTGCACGAAAACCAATTTGTTCGTTTGCAGCCGTACGTTAGGAGCTTGAAATGTCGCCCATAGTTCCTTTATATCGAGTTGCTGATGATAGCTCTCAGAGAGCAGGAGTGCAAACTTCTGGACGTCAAACTTTCCTTGTGTTTGTTGACGTGCGTTTTTCGCTGCACAGAGWGGCGCACCAACCCATTTCGKGATGTTTCATCATGGAGTTGGAATTTAATCGTACATCTKCGATATGTTGAAGWACTTCGCTTTAATGTGGATTTTSGCTAGAAGTTCATTCACCAGGGTGAATGGCAAGACTCGGCGACCTAGTCCTTTTACYATCATGTATACCACGCGGAATTTGCGCTGTTTTATATTTATTTAAATCTTGATTAAATTTAAGTGTTGAGTCAAACTAAGTTGATCTATCCAGGGAAATTTTKAAAAATCACCGAATTTGAAAACTAGCASTTTATTAGGAGAGGRACCAGACGCATACSCCGTGATATAAATATTTTGTCAAAATTCTTTTTTTGTTAAAGTTATTGAAGGTTGAAATTTAAAGCACGATAAACTTGTAAAATTATTTTCTCMTAAACTACTGAAGTTAAATCGATGAAATTTTGTGAAGTCAAAGAAAATTGTTTGTGCTACATTATAGATATTTTATCACAATCCATTTGTTTAAATTATAATATTTTACACAWTTTTTTGTTAAACAATTGAAACTTTTCATGTGTTCTTCACGCTAAAAAAAACTGAAAAGTATGTGACACAAACAAAATTTTGTTCATTTACACCACTCCAAAGATATTGAATTTTTTTCTCCCTCTTTGCTCTTAAAACTGCTTTTCTTGCGACACAGRTGTCGGSAGCTTACGCAACGATGGTTGTCGGGAAGGACATACCCGAGTCGTTCGTGCCCAACGAGATTTCAGACAAGGTTGTCGGGAAGGACACTTTTCTATAAGGTACACTTTTCTATAAGCGTGCACAGCTGCTGGCGGACTACGATGATATTGACATCCTTGGTCTCAACAATCGCGCCGTTAGTTCTGCTTTCTCCAGACTAGATAAGGAAGGAAAGTAGATATGTATATCTCCTGTCATCAAACATACAGTCGTTGCACTCGCAACTTGGCTCCTACGTCAATTTTGGCAGTCATAACTTTAACGTCATAGATAATTTCGCCTATCTTGGAACTAGTATCAACCCTAACAACAATGTCCGACTCGAAATCCAACGCAGAACTGCAGAAGGCTGGCTGTCTCCGGACCGAAAAACCACCAACCGGATCAATC